AATATTTTTTTTTCAATTGATATTACTTCATAGATGAGTAGGAAAGAAAATAATTGGTATTATGTATTTATGAAATGAATAGGCTATAGTTTTTCTCCACAATTATCATGCTGACTGAGCCCGAAAGTGCATTTTTGTTTTGAATTTGCCACCTCCCCCAACACCGAAAGCTGGATACACTACTGAAGATTTCTAACTATAGCAGTGAACATTAGCAGCGTAATTCGAAGAGCCTTTCTATCAATAAAATAGATAAAATTGCCATATGTTCAGACATTTTCACCAATACATTTTCAATTGAAAGTAAGTTTGGTACAAAAAGTCAAATTATATATTCACTCTCATTGAATTTAATTCATGGATTTATTTGAATCCACTGGTGATTAAAGTGAATAATTACATGTATATAATTTCAAATTGCCCCGAAATAGTACCGTCCTAACGTTTGCATTTCAATTTAAGATAAAAAAGTATTGATTCTAACGCAAAATATACATGTAGTGTACACAAATACGGAGGTGGTGATATCACACACAAATACGAACTTCTGTAATCAAACGATGTGTGTCAAATTCAAAAACATTTTGCTGACTTTTCCTCCAGTGGATTCCGAATTTTTTAAATGCAGTCAAATCAGTTACTCTGTACCGTTTTGAAAAAGCTGTTTTTATAACCATGAACAATTGTTACATAGTGGGTACTTTTTAAACAAATTTTTGACTACAATCACTTCCTTCAATTGAAAAAAGGAGAATAATGTTTGCCTGATTGTAACAAAAATGGTCAGTATCTTTTTTGACATAGGATTTGAAATAAATTCTAATGAAAAGTAACATGATTCATATGTTTGAATAATGTCTTGAAACATTTCCATTGTTCTTACTTTATTTCCTGATAATTTATCAACAAACTCGACGACCAAAGGTGCAACTTCAGACATTACGTTCTTAGGTAATGAACACCATGAACACGTGTGGCGGTTAGTCTTGTATGTGCACGCACACCACTGCGAATGCAGAACTCTGGGCAGTCAAATCTGACCCTCCCCCCCCCAAAAAAAACGAATTCCACTCAGAAAAGCAAATAAAACACGTACAATGCAATTACCTCCGTCTTTCATTCTCCTGACTAACGTCGTGGAAAGTCTCGATGCACAACGCCATCGGGGCCAACCGTTTAGAGTGCAGCTGAACTGAAGGAACTAATAAGAGCTTGGGAACAGCTGTGCCACACATCGCCGTGGACGACCACACCGGTGATGTCTAAACCTTGACCAATAAAAACTCGTCTTCTTAGTATGGGCGGGGCTATCTTCCTTTTGTTGCACACCATATTTTATGCAAAGTTTTATCAAGTGACCTTGGGTGATGCTATCAACAGAAAAACTTGGGGGAGAAATTTCATACCAGTGTTACCAAGTTACGATTTTCATTTAGGTCTGTCTGTGCCAGGCACATGTAATTCACCATCCGCTGTTGTTACATGCAAAGACGAGGAATTGACGGTGATCTACGTGTACTCTCAAGCATTCACCACTCAGATTTTTTATGTGCGTGAGGTAAACATTAAAGTAATTACCTTATTTCTAACACGAGTTACTGATATTCCCTTAACACGTCAGTAGATATTACGTGAACTAAAATTGAAAGGTTAAATTCTAGTAGCTTCGGTAGGAATAAGCGAGTGTTAAGTTTACAAGCTTCGGCGCTGTGTGTTCATAATGCACCCTCGTGATCCTGTATTTAGCAAGGTCGTCGTGCTGGGTGCCAAATTATTTATGAATGCACAGCTTTCCTCATCAAAATGCCCGGTACGTACTTTCATTCCAAATATTTTTCCTTATTTTATGCCAAAAAGAGGAGACCCTGTGTTTTCCTATCTCTTGTCACGTGCACATGGACTTGGAGAACGCTATACCTCAGAATTTTTTCCCTTCCGAATTTAAAGTACAAAAAATGAGGAAAGCCAATCCAGGTTTTAAAATCGCTCGTCTCACGAGACCACCATGGAGACGTCGTGACTTCTCGCGTCTAGTGCGTTCCGGGAGGAAACCCCCTGGCCCTTAGCACACAGCTCCAGCGGGAAAGGAGGAGAGTCCTGCCAAATAATTCGTTGAAAGCGAGTTGAGTGCCTCCTCGGCTCACTTAGCAGTGGCGCTTCTCAGCTCGCAGGGGATTTCACGGCGCTTGGGTTTCGGACTTGAGTTGTTTGATTTTTTTTTCCTCTCGTGTCGCCTGGACTTGCCATTGCTTGGGCATCAGACAAACGAAGGACCGTTTTACGTCCTTACCTAGGTAGCGCCTTTGAGGCTGATGAATTTATAACGGAAGGGTATAAGGGAAAGCCATTAGCCAGCCAGATCCCGAATTTGTAGAACCTCCTTGTTTCATATATGAATCAACAGATCCACTGCAAGTTCAGACTCAAAGAATTAGTACTATAGGTTGTGACACTGTCATGTAAACATTGCTTTGTGCCTGCCATGGCTTATATTGATTTCTTAAATCGGATGTTAGCCTATCAGGCTCGTTTTGGCTGGAAACGAACTAACTGTGATCATGGAGGAAGGATGCTGTGATCATATTGGAGGGGCTTTAATAAGGGGGGGCTATATGTGTCCAAGAAATGAGGTGTCTCCTTATCAAAACAGACCTAGGCGTACTTATAAAAGTTTGAACAAAAGTTCATTACAGCTGCTACGATTAGGCTGTTAAGAATGTAGATTGCCCGTTTAAGACCTCATTATAGGTGCATATGGTGTAGTTCCTCTTCACTACGCCCACTCCTCACAATCCTGCCTCCAAGGAGGGAGGGAGGGGTGGAACCCACCTACCCCGTTTGTTCAGAACCAGCAGTTGAAACCGTATAATCCGAGTCCTCTTAATCGAAGTGACAGTCCAGTGCCCATCGATGCTTCATAACACTGTAACCAGTACTCCAAAATTAGAATCAGTTTCGGTTACAACAGTAATATCATATGACAAGTATTTGGAAGATATTGCCCCAACGGTCCAGAATGCATCTGGATTTAATACAATTAAAATACACCTGCTTGCCATTATTATTGGGAGGATTAAGCTTCAATGCTCAACGCCAAAACAGGTACCGACAGAATACTACCGGATAGCAGATCATGTGGTTTGTCTGAAGGGTAGACTGCAGGTGCAGATTTTAAGCAATGTCAAGATTTCAGCTCTGAAATGCTCTAATCCTCGTTTTTCCTTCTTACAGTAATGTCCCCGGAAATAGCGACGGGCCGTGTGCGCTCTATGAAGGCAACACGCCTCGTGTTAAATAAACATCACCACTTCAAATCAACCAATGCCCTTCCACTCTGGTCAATTTATTAGGTTGCATGTTTCATTGACTTTTGCTATCTATTTTATACTTAGAGTACTTCGCAGTTGCGATGGCATTGTGCTTCTACCACACCTATCAGAATTCAACTGTTTACTACTGATGAAAGACTGTGGCTACCATAATGCACTTTGAAAAACAAAGAACCTTAATAAATAAAAAAAAGCACGAACAAAATTTATGGAAGTGCAAAGCCTTTACTATACTCTGAAAAAGTCTCGTGTGTGTGCACGAAGAGACTGTCCAGAGCGAATTCGCATCCGTTGGTTTCCTTTCTTATTTTTCTCTTTAAATTGAACTACTGCACTATCTTAGGCGCTACCGCATAATACAAGAGGTGATTGAACGTGACCTATTGCAATGCGTGGTCTTGCAGAGTCTCGATGTGGCTTCGTTTTGAGAGAAGTTTGCTCTGTCCATTTGTACATTCGGAGCCACGTATTCAAAACCTGCACTTACAAGACATGTATCCACTCACGGTCGCTACGTGTCTGCGCGATATTTCTTCACTGATCATCCTATTTGGCATTACGAGTCTCTGTCACACTGAACTATAGATACCGAGAAGTGCTCCGAAAGCAAGAAGCGCCTTTTACCTAAACTGATACTTTTGTAGAAGTGGAACACAATGATGACACGGTCCCATTTTACAAAATGAAGGGTACCAGGCAAGACTGATTTGTATACACCTACATAGGATTACCTAAACTGAAAATGAGGAAACGTGCACTATACATAATGTAAATAGTAGGGTTAAAATGTACAAGATATGGGTAAGATGTAACAACCTTGCAATTATTTGACAGAGGGCGCTCAATTATATTGGTCTCATTTTACGGATATCGGATGCAGGTCGCAAATCGGAAAATGACGCCCGCAGAGATCGGGGCTGCGTCATAAATTCGGTCATCTAGGTTCACATCGCCAAACAGTTTACAATCAAGTCAGTCAGTTATGCTGAAAAAGCCTTTTCCATATTGATATTTTTGCTGTACAAATTATTGGGAATTTCTTGTTATTTCCTTTTGGATGAGTCCACATAGGTACATGTCCACCACACTCTCCACTGGTTTATTTCCGTCCGGCGATGTCAAATAGCCGCTCGTTGTGCTCAACCGTATCGTCGAAGGTGGATGACGCCTCGTCGAGGCCCAATCCCCTGGCCAGGAAGTATAGTGGCCCGCTGCCCAACGAGGTGGACCCTGGCCCGGCAGAATTTCTCTTGGCAGGTCTGAGAGTGGTGATGACAGAGGAAAACTGGCATAATAATGATCAGTCCCTTTGGACCACAAATGTTTCAGAAACTAAAAGAAATCCAGGTCACAGCACAAGGTCAAACAGTAAACACAAGAGTGTATAACTAAGTTGCATTCGGTTGGCGCTCGCGCTTGTCGAAGTTCACTCTTAGGAACCCTAAAAATAGTTAAGCTTTCACTCAATAGAATCTGTGTAAGTAAGAAAACTGCACTTTCTTCTTTTTCATTATTTTGAGAGGGGGGTGAGGAATCATTTCTGCAATTAATCGTGAAGTGGGTCTCCAGCTCCTCATCGCGCAATCTTCGAACTGGCAATCGGTATTATATTGGCGTAGGCCTACGTTGAGGCGGCTTTCAGAAACACGAAACCAACCGACTCACCCAATGTCGCCGCTGACCGCGCCGTCTACCACGGCCAGACTGTTGTCTAGTTCCTGCTTAAGCAGCTGAGCACTGTGGACGTATATATCGCGGAGAGACATCCGCAGGAGGTGCACCATGTCACCACGAGGACGCCTGCAAAATTGTAATTCAAAATAGAAGCTCCAAGCCTGATCGTTTCATAAACGGGTATACATCAGTTTCCGGATTTCCTCAACTCGATTCGAGATTTTCAATCTGACAGTCAAATGTTAAAAGAAATCATTAACCTCATAGGAATCCAGTTTACTAAACCAATCGCTTTTCAGCCTTTTAAGAAAGGATGCATTTTCAAAATGTTCTTTTTATAGAGCAAACAGGTTCCACGGTTTGTCTAGCTCTTGGTCCAATACCATTCACTGCCCCCCTTCATGCTCTATCTTCTCGGGGAACTCCTTTTGCTTAGCGGGACCTGCCAAAAGTCCAGAAGCCAAATGGTTTCTCACCCTCTAGCTGCACCTTGGGATGTCGTTATCCCCTCCACGTGGGTTGAAGCAAAGCCCGCTCCCACAATGCAGGCTATAAGTAGGTAGGATGCCAAGAGAGGCACGGAGGAGGCCATGATCCTGAAGTTTTCTCGCTCTTCCAAATTTAGAAATACTGTAACAGTTCCAGTAGAAGCGACGAAAAAAAGAGCTTGGCTGTTAATGTAATACACTGATGGAATGATGTTCGATTTTGCCACTGTGACCACCACGTGTAAATATGAATTATTATTATTTTTTATTTTGCAGTGTATATTCCTTAAAATTATTGTAGCTTTAGAAAAGATCATACAAAATTGAAATATTGCATCATTAATAAACCTCTCCATCTTAGATTGGGAACATATCCAAGTGGTGAGGTTTCTGTTTGTACAAGGAAAATGCACTGATAAACTAAAAAAATAGACCAGTGAGAAAGTCGATTTTTAGTAGCAACGAGAAGCATTCTGCAAACGACTTATAATGAAAGTGTAGAGGTAGCGGCTGAAGGAAAACGTGTTTGTAACTCGTCTGGTGCCTTTCTTGTTCAGGTGTTTTGATAGGTATTTACAAACCGATAATCCGTTTTATTTTAGCACTCTTTCCCTTTCCCTTTTCAGAACCCGAGTTCCGCCTTTGGCCCGCGCCTTCCCCAATGGAAAAACCACTTACCGATGTTAGGGTTCTATGACACATTCATTAAGACAACAAAACGATGAATTTAAAGCTTAAAACCTCAAAGTGACACATTTGCTAGCGTATTCGTTGCTTGAATTACTAACAACTCACGCTTTTTTTCTCACTAAAGAGTCGACTTCCGGAAGGTCACGTTTCATAAAGACGTGGCAAAATATTCCGCTAGTCTGGTTCCCAGACCTGATGAATATAACTATCACTGTTATTTGAGGGTCCGGTATCAACCAATGTCCGTAACGAAATTGCAGAAATTCCTCCGTTTTCCGAAATATTCCAAAGTATTTGTGGTCAACGTTCGGATAGAATCGTTTATGGTCTTACATTTCTGCCGTTTAAACGCACTTGTCGACAACTGCACTGTAAAATAATACTGATAAATGAGCAGTGTTGTACTATATTTTTTGCAACATTAATCTACTGTGAACAAACATTTGGACAGTGTGTGTGTGTGTGTGTAAGTAAAACACGTTTAAAAAATAGTGTTTCTTAAATGTGACCAACATAGCCGTGACCAAATATCACGTTGCAACGCCTGCATCTAATATGTCATCAGGCAATCCAGTATTGTTCAGTTGTTTTTGTCTGTTTAAAGATAATTTTCTTGTGTATCTTGTGCCATTGCGTATTATAAAGGTACATCCCGATTTTAAAATAAATGAAATGATAGCTTCCAGCCCAGACGGAGCTCAATTATGGCTCATGACATATAGCGCCATGAACTACATGTATATTTAATCGTTGGCAATACATGACCTAGGGTTTTATCAAGATTCATCGGAAGTCTTCAGTCCAGGAAACCAGACTAATTTTCCGGCAATTAATGTATTTTCAGTTCACATTTTCCCGTCATGATCGTGAGCGTAGTCACTGGTTGGCTTGAAAGCAAAGTGCGCACACACCCATCATCGAGTGCGTGGGTGCATTATTAAAACCCGTACGCATTTGCGCGGGCTTGTGGTAGTCTGGCCAGCTTTTTTTGGGCTTCTGTTAGCAAAGATCTTTTGAATAATTCAGGCTGCGATAAACATCCTGACCATGACCGATATTTTGTCCCGTAACTATTTTGGTTTTAAACATGAATTATCTTTCCTGCCTTTTCTAAACACTATAGACATTTTCAATTAGATCTGATCACGTTAAACCCACCTATTCAGACGTCAAACGCCCAAAGTGTATACTTAGCAACTGACGAAAAACAAATCCAAGAACCGCCATCAAGATGAAATTCAAGCCATCTGATCGCTGAAAGGAATGACTTCTTCCTGTTTTCGAGATGAGGTTGTTTAAAGAGCGCAAGAGAAAAATCCCAAGATACATGTATGTCTCAGCATGTGATGTAAATTTAGGAATTTTGCCACGGTGTGACGTATAATTATACGTATTTGTTATCAGAAACTACGCGCTGTAGAAAGCACGAAGGTAATACGAATATCTACACACTGAAGCTTGTCAACTGAAACAAAAGATGCAGTACAATTGAGTTTGGTGGAAATTACTGAAGTTTCTGAAAATTGATTTGTAGATTTTTTTGTGGAATTGCGCATTCTAAAAACTTCTAGGTCAGAATGACTAAGAATTCGGTTCTCGCTAAGGACTTGGCCCTTCCCTAGAAAACAAAAATCAGAATGAGCAAAAAGAGTGTCGATGTTGACCCGGGTAAGGGTAAGCCCCCTAACATTACCTGTCCCCGGAGTTTTTAGAGCGCATTTCAAGCGAAAACACGCACATTGGCAGTTTTGTCAAACACTATATGGAGAATTGTTTAAGGTTGTGGCTGAAGGTTGAGAGCGTTTTTGTCCAAAGATATCCTCTAAACCAACAGGAACAGCGAATTACTTAATGTTAGAGATTTAAAAAATATGATTTTTTGCTATCAGGAATTTGAAGAATATAGGCTATATTCAACAATGTCCAGAAAATAAAGGTGTGTCCTTACCTGAGATGTGGCGCTGGTTGCTTGTGGTGAAATCTGGCGGGAATGTGGTGCTGTCCGTCCAGTAGCAGCCATCCTTTATACCCTTATACCTATCACTTCTATTTGATAAAATACTTTGTTTTGCCTCCGGGAACCACTCAGTGCACCACCGTTTTAGCGCTTCTAGCTCATCAGAAACATTAGTTGGACAAACAAGTCTACCTAACGTTGGTCATTTCGTACAGTATCACCGCCGTTTTTTTTTAAATAAACGACTGAGCATCTTCATTTGCACCCCCAGACCATATGCTGCTTTTTCTCTCCAATGAATTTAGGAATATCTTAAAAACCAAAAGTCCAGGGAAGAATCTACTAAAATATTAAAAATTATCTTGGTTTGGCAATCAATCTCAAGGAAGAAAACGGAAATCAAAAACAAACCGTTTCTTTCAGTTATTGCTACAAGAAAAGAAATACAGTCCAACTACATTAGATTGGGTTAAATAGACAAGAGGCTACCATTAACTTCCTTTTCTTGGAAACAAGCTCCCAAATGTTGAGTGAAGTGTCATCAACCTTTGGGAAATGACATCACGGGCAAATGCAAGAAAACAACAACGTATTGAATTTCGTATCACGAAACTGGCCGCATAAATGAACGACGCGAGAGCGATACTATCAGCATCTCTCATAGAATAATGCGTCAAACGACGAGCATGCAAGTTAACTGCTACGGGTAAACAACACGTACAAAATGGTGCAGGCCTGCATGCACGCACGTGCGTTACCCGGGATATGAATAATGGCGCGAACTGTATCTCGGCAAAAGTGCTTTTTAGTATTCACATGTTGTCTCCAACACGCATTTTGTACGCCACTGCTCATTTGAGTTGCCCTATCCTACCGAGCAGCAAAGTAAAATAGATAGACGGTGACAGCATTATGTATAATTATGAGAATCTCCTGTTAAAATTCGCAATATGCCATGTAAAGGTGTTAAAAACTAGACCTGCTATTGAATGAATAAAATAAACTTCATGTTCTTTCAAGAAAGACACAACAAGCACGGCTTTAACACTTTTGAGTGAGCGCATTAAGCAGAATGTTTTGTCATTGTAAATATAATTATCTCCCGTGTTGTTCATGCAGGACGAAAAGAAATTGGGCAATTTAGATTTAAAGAAATGAGACCAAGTAAGCTTTTAATATCGGTTACGAACCAACTATGGTTTTAGTTGCAAGGTCCATACGTAACAGGATATATGAATGACTACAAATTTCTAGGACCAATCGTGAATATCTGCTAACGTCACCAGGCGCTGCACGGAAATGTAAATTTGAATTGTGAATGGTACTATAATGACAACTCACGCGTTACACAGCGAGCACAACGCCTGTCACATTGACACGCCACGCGTGGGATTTTTAATAAACAACTCACAGAGGCCATCGCCTCAAAGATAGTCAGCGCATTCTGTTTTCAGATTGACTGTACAGACAGAGACATCAGATACCAAAACATCTTTTACACAAAAAAGATTGAATACCACCCACCCGCGTGTCTGACATTCACAATAAGTAATAGTCTGAATCAGCTATCGACGTGAGGTGGGCTGCGCGTCATAGCTTTTCATTGTGGGAGTGTTCTCCAATTTCTCTCCTGGGGTGTACTGGAGACAAGGCAAACCTTACAACAAAAGAATAATGATAAAATATCCGATACTTCGTACACCGTAAATTCAATGCTCAACAATGGCAATTGAGTGTAGATTTGTGTTCTTTTTTCATGCCTATTCCACGAAGTACGCCATTGAAACGGAGGATTTTCAAAATTATTGCACTGCCATGACATTTACGACATCAGAGACAACAAATTGTATTCAACATCCCCCCAAGAAACCCTGCTGTTTAAGCGTTTTATAGGAGCCAGTGGCTTTAATGACAATGAACACATTCATCCCACTCCCAATTGGAGTATATGAACAGGAAGGGAATGTGACACATTCAGAAAAGGTTAGATAGAGGTGAATGGACTATAATGTAATTCGACAGCCGGAATTACAAACCATTTCTGCGGTGGCACATCGCTCCTTGACAGCTGGTATGCGCGCGCCTTACATGCCTCTTCGACCAATAGGGTGTCGCAATTTCCCCCAAACACGCGCGCGTCGAGCTAAAGCATTGTGCGTGTCACTGCGGCGCCACCGCAGTTTCGGCGTCTAATTGGATTAGTCTATAGAGGATTTTTAAGTCATGTGATTTTTGACGGTCAATGTTCAGATGTGTGCGGAAACTCACGGGCCTTCCAAGTCTCTCAGCATTCAGGCGTACATGAAACTGCCATTAGAAACTGCTCATATTTGAAAATGTATGCACCTCCACAGACATGGTACGCTTTCTGAAATGCCTTTGACAGTCGTGTTACGTCATGTGAAAACCGTCTACAAATTACACCAGCTGGTCTCGGTAAAAATCCAACCTCGTTTCGGGAAAAGCTTAGGAGGCTAGAAAAGTACTCCCCCGTACACTGCACTACTGCATCCGTGACCCAAATAGCTGACATCGAGTGCCCCATCGGGCCGGGGCGTACAAGAAACGAGCAGAAGACACTTATCGTCGAGATGGAAGAGTACAATTCGTGACGCCATGACGCGATGATGTAGATTTTATGCTCACGCGCTAAGAGATAGTCGCACAAACATAACAACTGAGTACCATAGAAAAAAATAAAGGAGCCAGATGACCACTTGGTTTTGTCTCATACGTAAGCCTTTCTTAAACGTTCCTTTATTGGGGATCAACTCTTTTTTATCTTAATGGGTCCTCTATATTAAGGGATATCTTGCGTATCTATATATCTATATAAGGCTGACCCAGGCTCCGTGAGTGAAAGATAAACGAAGCTGATTTTAATTCAAAACTTTGCTCTTCCAGTTCTTGAACAGAAACCACAAAGCGAACAGACAAACCGGTGTCAGAATGAACAGGTAGGTGATGTATGGTGTTAACATTTAACCTGCGTATACAGATCTAAATGTCTATTCCTAATAGAGATATATCTATTCTTAATAGAGATATATATAGGTTCACTGAGCATGGGTTATGTAACGTTTCCTAATGTAAACAATTACGGAAGTACTAGTACTAAGATACAATTCAAAATCCCTCAAGACAATAGATTTATAAACACAAAACGTCGAGAGCGACCTGCTGACCTCGGAAGCGGAAACTTAATAGTGATATCTCTATTACGCAATAGAGATATCTATATTTTTAATAGAGATATCTCTTTTCCGTGAATAAATGTTAATAGAGATATAATCTGTATTTAATAATAGATATATCTTTATTCTTGAATTTAATGCTAACTCTGCACGCCATAGCATGTGATGTTGATGTATAGGACACACATAAACAGACACTGATTAAAATATGACGGCAGCTGCATACAAAACTCGCCGTTAAAGGTTTAAAGCGTGTTTAGACTGGGGTTACACAATAGCTACGCGAATAGCACGCAGGCTCCTTCTTGTTCCCCGTCGTGTCGCTTGCCACTTGTATGCTTCCAATGAAAATAAGTCCACAGAGATGAGTTTTTATTAAATAATCAACCATCAAAGGCGGTGCATCTTGGTTACAAAAGCTGAATCGCACCAAAAGGGTGTCAAACAGATAGAAACGAAATGCCGGGTGATTATTACACGTGCCATGCGGTTTGCTAGTGTTGAATATGTATAGCCGGAGCAATCAAGGATGAAACCCCAACTTCAGTCCTATTGGAGTTTGGGCACTGAACATCCGCAAGTGAAACCATAGTACAGCGTTTCGATGGAACGTGTAGGTTGGTGACAGATCGGAACCATCTCACGAGCTTCGACAAGGCATTCATCACACAGGCCTTTAGTAAATACAACCAAACACAGGGCGGTGAGGCATTACAATTTCAAACGGTGAAATCACGTCTCTTCAATCTTAGACAGACAGCAGTGTCCCGGCCGGCATGCAATGGAACTAACACATGATTAACCTTTTTTCTAGGCCTCCACTTTTGATATCCTGCAAAACACGGGCCATTTTTATCGGATTATATACATAAGCCCACGCAGGGAAAGTTACATATTTATTGTCTGCATCTCTCGAAAGAGCAACCGCCAGTCTTGTTGGCAGTTACTACTGGGTGCATTTTTGCGTCGAGTAACTTTGTTTTTGATTTATTTTCTTTCGTGCCTTCATTGACATTTACCTTCTTTTTTTTTGCTGATTCCACGACTCACTCTGTATTGGAAATATTTCTTGCATCTTTTGAAAGTCTTTGCATTGCAACTGCATTTTTATGTAGGGATTCGCCATTTTGATAGATGCGCATTATTAGTTCCTGAATAATTCATTCCGCTCATCATTAGCATTGTATGTTTGAATCTGGTATGTCCCTTCCCTACTTTTAACGAGTCGTTATTTTGCAGGGAATGTCTGCTCAGCTGTATGGTTCCTTATATATGGATCTTTAGCTCAGCTCAAAACCATTGTAATGTACCTGTTTAGTTTCACATTCTGCTCCATGTGTAATTTCTTATTATGCACACCCAAGGAAGAAATTTAGCACCATGTTCAAAATGTACCCCGACAAGCCCGATGAAAACCGCGTTGCGAGAAATATAGATTAATTTGAAACTGTCGACGTGTTTCCCTCCATACTCCGCGTCCTTCTTCGCGTCCACGGCCGGAGGTTACAGACAGGAAATCATGACTTGTCACATAGTCTGAAAGCCCAACCCTTCGGATATCCTGCTGGCTTTTCATCAACCTGCACACCTTCTTCTGAAACCCTGCCTTCTTTTTAATATCAAGTCACTCCAGAGATGAGTACCAGATTAGATGTCGGGTTTCGTTGAACAATACCAGACCCCAAGGAATCGTCGCTCAGCGGCAGTCTCAGTTAACGAGTGGCAGTCTACGGCATGGATCCTTCCTTCAGGAGACCGTACGTCTTGAGCTTCAAAAATTGTCCAGGGAAATGAGATATTTGGATATTGCAAATCTTCGTTATCTTCATTACTCATCTTTTAATCATCCGTCTATAAAAACACTTCCATATCCGTTTACGTCATTACACACCTTTAAGTCATCTGCCCTAAAAGCACTCGTATCTGCGTGCGTTTTGTCGTAAAGCATGATCATCATGTTGGAGGAGACAGTATAATTAAATTAAAGGGAAATGATGACACCATTAAAAACAGGTATTTGAGTCAGCCAAATCCCAGAAACAAAGTTTTATTTCGACGAGGCCGAAGCGCGTTATTAGCACGTCCTTTACAAGGGTGTCGGCCATCGGCTAGCACCTTGGAGGCAACAATCCATCATGAGGTTTCTTCCGTTCGGACTAAGACGGATGCAGCCTGGGCTTTCTCGCAATAGCCCGTTGCCTTGGTATGGACTCAGCGGGAACATATGATGATAATGAACGTGCG